GACAGGCATTAACCTTAGGTAAGCTTGTGCTTACTTTGGACTGTACCCTCCTCATCCTCTGGGGGAGGTAGAGAGGGGGGGGGGCGCATGGCCTCTATTTTTCAGGGGGGGTTCGGGTACGGGTTGGGGGTCGGGTCTATGTGTACTGCATTCTCGAATTGTCCCCTCACTATAGCCACTGTGGATTTTCAGTATACGGCTATCCTTACTCAACGCGTATATGTGTCCGGCAATCTCCAATTCAAATCAACCTGTGAGTTGTCAGTATGCAGTTTTCTTCACTCAATGCGTCTATGTGTCCGGCAATCGCAAACGTCACTCAACCCGTGAGGTCTCAGTATGTGTCTGTCCTCACTCAAAGCGTCCATGTGTCTGGCACTATCCAACATCACTCAACTCGTGAAGTTTCAGTATGTAGCTATCCCCACTCAGCGCGTCCATGTGTCAGGCAAACTCAACAACCAATCCATCTGTGAGGTTTCAGTATGCAGCTATCTCCACTCAACGCGTCCATGTGTCTGGTAAACTCAAAAACCAATGCATCTGTGAGGTTTCAGCATGCAGCTATCCCTACTCAACACGTCTATGTGTCCGGCAATCTCCATCACAAATGACCTGTGGGATTCAGCATGTGTCTACCCTCACTCCACGCGTCTATGTGTCCGGCACTCCAACATCACTCAACCCGTGGGGTTTCAGTATGCAGCTATCCCACTCAACCCGTCCATGTGTCTGGCAATCTCAAACCTCACTCAACACGTCTATGCGTCCGGCAATCTCCTGCATCACTCAACCTGTGAGGTTTCCGTAAACAGCAATCCTTGCTCCACTCATCCATGTGTCACGCGTCTTTGGTAGCGCATACTATGGGGGCTATATTTGGGGTGGCGTGTCTTACAGCGCTTTGCCAACAGCGGCAACCCACTCAAGTCAAGAGCGAAGGGGGGACGGGGGGGTGTACTCGTAGTCGTGCATGCCGTAGTCGTTAGACCATTGACCTCGCATCCCTACAAAGCCGGGACGGAGCACGCCGGGTTCTCACCGGACCAGGCTCTCACATCACCAAGCGCGAAGCGCCGTGAGATATTCGGCGAGTCGCATGAAGGGTGCGCTGCATCCTGCTAAGGGTGTTCGGCATCTTTTGCTTACTTCCTTCCGTACGGATGACAGCTGCGTATGAATTTATTTATTTTCTGGTGCTTTCACTTCCAGAGACAGTTGTAAGCACTGTGTAACTGCCTCGAGGGTGCTTGACCATTTTAACACAACGTGGTGCGATCATCCCCCTTGCGCGGAGTGCGGGTTATCCACCCCGCATAACATGATCTACTCGACCACCATTATGGTTACCACAAAAAAAAAAAAACGGAGGTAAAAAAAAAAAAACGGTAACCTGGTTGCCGAGTTCACGAAGTGAATTGGCTTGTTTTACAACGTCGTTGCGTTACCAAGCGACGGCTTGTTTTACAACGTCGTTACCAAGCGTCGGCTTGTTTTACAACGTCGTTGCCAAGCGACGAAAACCCAACCCCG